TTCCTTCTCTGTGCTGTTCCAATTGGTATTGGAAATACCATAACATCGATGGAAAAAAAGAACAATTACTCACGGAGTTCCGCAAGGTACGGTCTTGAGTCCAATACTTTTCATTATCTATATAAATAGTTTATCAAACATGCATTCCAAGTAATCTTTTATAATGCGGAGACATGGCAAGACCTCAAGATAAAATCAGAAAGAGATTTCAGAAACATCATGAAAAGGTTTCAATATAAGAAATTGACCTTAAACGTAGAAAAAACAAAATATCCACCATTCACCTTTTATGCCAATAAACTACCGAACATTTGTGCATTTATTATCAATCAAAACTTATTGATTCCAGAAAGTATCTCAATTAAATACCTTGGCTTAATGATCAAAATTGACATGTGAATTTCAAGTAATTCATAATGAGAAAGTATTTCTACAGTAGGAGAAGTGCCTTCAAATTTAAAAGACCCATATTTCAAGATGAGTCTTTGAAGGGCTTCTAATTAATCTATCCCACACAATAGAAGCATATTCCAGCCTAGGTCGAACAAAAGTGAGATAAAGTAATTTGAATGTTGAAGCCTCTTTGAAATCTTTAGTATTGCTAATTAACCATACATGCGATGAGCATCTGTCAGAGTAGTGTCAATATTTTTATTGAATAAGAAGGATGAATCAGAAGTAATTCCTAGATAGTGTGTCAGGTGATAGTGTCAGGACTCTCCAGAACTAGATTGTTTATGACGTTGTTGTGTAACGTCAGATTTTCTAATCGGTCATGAAATGACGGTTGTACCGCTAGAGAAATAAAAACAACCTTATCACCGGACCTAAATAGCAATTATTGCTTGTTTCTCTCTCGCTAACGTCTTTCATGAAGCATTCAATTCTTAAACGAAATAAAAACTCCATTCGGAGCCGTCAGCTTCCTTTTACGAAGTTACACAATTCGCCGAACAACACGAGAAAATTGCATTCAGCTAACATGGGAGTTCGCTAAAAGTTTTTATTGGATTTAGTCAATTTAAGACAGCTTCAGTCCGCCATTAGCCGCACCAAAGAATGACATCAAATTGTCAATTAATGCATCAGTTCAAAACCAATTTCGAGTTTCGCCCGAAGCATCAACATGGCCGCGAGCAACGAAACTTAAGAATACAGATAATCAAGAGTGCCAGGGTGACTAGGGGTGGATCTAGCGGACGGATCTTCCCTTTTCGCTTTCACCCTGCATCACTTCTTCAAGGGGGTGCGACCAGAAATACAGTTTAGCAAGTATACTCGACTCTATGAAACTGATTGTTTTTAAACAGGGTAGAATAACTTAACGAGTGTTTCATATACAGTCTATAGTCTATTTTCTCAAGCAGCAGCGTAATGAATCATTCTCAAGTGGCTGTTTCTTATAGCACTGAATAGTTTAGTCGGTTGAAAAGTGAAAAATGTGGCATTTACATGGGTGGTCCTAGTAGTACCCGGCTTAACCTAGAGATGGCAGTAGTTGTTTGAAAAATATCATCGTATCAGAAAGTACACAATCTTTAAAGCATATATTTCAAGTTTGAAGACGCTGCAGTGTTTAGTATTTGTTTGGCAGCCACCAATAGCGAAAGTTTTCGGTGAATTCGTTAAAACGGATAAAATTGATTATCCTCATGTGGTACAATACTTTTATTTGAACTGGATTCTACTATGGGTATGGATTCTACTGCTGCTTCATTTAGAAGAGTAAAATATTGAGGTGATCACTCCAGAAACGGTGAAGAAAATCCACAAAGCGGTACTGAATGATCGCGAGCTAGCAGACTCAGTAGGCATTTTGTCGAATATTTTCAGATTATATGGAATAATGTTTCATGAATAAGTTGTGGATCTTGTTATTCTCCACAACTTATACAGGGTGTTTCAAATTCGATCCTCGCCATTGGGATCTCGGGAACTATGAGAGATACGATGATGGTTGAATTGGAGCAAAGTTGCGCATTTACCTGATTAACAACATGCCCTTGAGAAAGTTCTGAAATCCCCAGTATATCGGGAGATAGCCGAAAAAAACAGAAATTTCAGAAAATGGTTTTTATTTTTTCTGACTCTATTTTTCGAACGGTTCGAAAATAAATTGCACTTCCACACTGTCACTATTTCCCTGCTACATAATGGTGTTTCCAGATTTGCTCTCCGACGTTTCGTTTTTCGGCCACCATCATCAACTTTATTTTTTATTACGGGCGCTACATTGGATTCTTTCTGTTTTGAATAGAACCAGATTTTACAATGATGTATCATACGTTATCATTCTTTTTTGAACAATTGGATAAATTGAAAATAATTAATCCTTAGGCTTTGACTTTGATGTTTCTGAATTTGACTTTCAATTTGTTGCCCTAATGATATTTTGTTATTGTACAAGTCATTGAATTTTTGGCGAAATATGGCTTTTACGAATGAAGAAAAGAGAGATATGATACAAATGTATTACAAATACCATAGAAACAGAAATAGAACTTTGAACAAATAACAATAATTAACTAAAACGCAAAGACAAAAGTGAATCACAACAAATGCTCAAAATGCTGGCCATATGTTCATGATAACACAACTGTGCCCTTCTTCGAATATTATTCACTGCAAGATTAATTTCCCTCCTCTTCCGAACTCTCTAACAATGCTCTGTTGAAGGTCCTCAATATTTTGATATTCCTTCTGACCACAAACTCAATTTTCAGTATACCCCATAAGAATGTTTCCATAAATCTAAAGACCTTGCTAGCCACCTCACAGGTCCATTATTCCCTATCCATTTTCGGATTCAATAAAATTTCTGTGCACAAATTTAGATGAATATTTGAAGTGGAATACTTACACATGTTGAACAGGTGTGTAAGAGACTCAATAGTAGTTATCATGCAATTGTGCAGCTGAAAAACATATTCACAGTAGAGCAATTAATAAATGTGTACTATGCTCTCTCATATTCACATATTTCTTATAATATTCTCCTTTGAGGAAGTACGGCCAATGCTGGCAGAGTTTTCATCGGTCAAAAAAGACTAACTCGTCTAATCTTTGACTTAGATTACCGAATGACGTGTAGCAATCATTTTAAAAAGTTCAAATTACTTTTAAACCTACTGTGTAGGTATATAGAGACTGGCTTGAACGTTTGAAGTTCCATTTGCTTTAGATTTGTTTACGGCCAGTCTTCAAGCATAGCCCATTGACTAATAAGAAAGACTCAATAGTAGTTATTATGCAATTGTGCAGCTGAAAAACATATTCACACTAGAGCAATTAATAAATGTGTACTATGCTCTCTCATATTCACATATTTCTTATAATATTGTCCTTTGAGGAAGTACGGCCAATGCTCGTAGAGTTTTCATCGGTCAAAAAAGACTAACTCGTCTAATCTTTGACTTAGATTACCGAATGACGTGTAGCAATCATTTTAAAAAGTTCAAATTACTGACAGTACCATCGATCTACATTTATAAAACTGGATTATTATTATTATGTATCACCAAACCTTTCAGTCAGGTAATTAGATACTCGTCTGGTAGTTTACGGTAAAGCACCATCATGTTGAAACGAGATGTTGTTAAAGTTAGTCAAAGGGAGTTCATCCAAATAGTCTTCGAAAATCGACATTGAAAACTGGTGATAGGTTTCTCCATTTAGAATTCCGTCAAATAAATGAGAACCAAAAATTCTATCGCACTTGAGGTCGAATTTCTCTGAACTGACTGTTTTCACCTGTCCAAATTACCTTCTCCGGAAAAATCAGGTCTTTTTATTAGCCAATTACAAAATTCTAATCGCCTTTCGGAATCACATGGATGCAATTTTTGAGATATGTGTATTTTGTAACATTTTAACCGCTTTTTTTGACATGTTTCCAAGCACTTGTATGAAAAATATTCATTTCGGAAGGAATTTGACGTGAAGATTTTCCCGGGTTCATGGTTATCTGCAAGTTATTACTTTTTATTGAAAAGGACACAATGTCTAACTTACCTCATACATACCTCATTTATCTGTATCCGTATTTTTTCTCCAGTTTTCAGATGAACCAAACTTGGTGGAACACTGAACAATAACTTGAACATAATTCGATGTGGTTGTCGTCTTTCGGGATACAAGTTTAAATACATTTCCTAAGTCCTAACACTGTTTCTATCATATTTGTAATACATTTGTATCATATATTTTTTTTCTACATTCGTGAAAGACATTTTTCGCCAAAAATTCAATAACAAAATGTCATTGAGTGTAACAAGTTGAAAGTCGAATTTAAAAACATCAAAGTCAAAGCTTATTATGGTTAATTGATTTTCTTCAATATTTTCAATTTAAAAAAAATTATAACTAATGATATTTCATTGGGAAGGTAAAATCTAGTCCTATTCAAAACAGAAAGAATCCAATGTAGCTCTCATAAGAAAAAATTAAAGTTGATGATGGTGGCCGGAAGACGAAACGTCGGATAGCAGATCTGAAAACACTGTTATGTAGCAGGGAAAAAGTGGCAATGCGGAAGTGCAATTTATTTTCGAATCCTTCGTGAAATAAAGCCACAATGAAATAAAAACCAGAACGGGAATTTCAGAACTTAGTCAAATAAATGCGTAACTTTTCCCCAATTTAACTCATAGTTTCCGAGATCTCAATGGTGAGAATTGAATTTGAAACACACTGTATATTCAATTTCTTCAATATAAGGCCTGATTTCAGTGGAAATCATAAAAAACCGTTCAGTTTCACTTCTTAAAATTCATTTTATTACATCCGTCCTGCCTTGACTAGACATTAATTCATGTTTCCTGTGGAAAACACTATATTTCCTACAGTCTCTGAAAATGTTTATGCTTTTTTTGATATCTTTCCCTTCATGCTTCTGCACTGGTCTATGACAGCAAGTCAAAATTATATACAATTTATTTGCCGCACTCAATAGGTCACTCACGGTTGCCATCTATCCTACCTCACTTTTGTTTTTGTTCCAGGTGTGGTTCCAAAATCGTCGTGCAAAATGGCGTCGCCAAGAGAAAATGGAAGCGGCTCGTTTGGGTCTCAGCGAATACCACGCAGCAACTCTATCCAGGGCTGCTGGATCCAGCCTATCTCTCCCCATGGACCCCTGGTTATCACCCCCACTCTTATCAGCTCTCCCAGGATTCCTCAGCCACCCCCAGACAGGCTACCCCAGTTACCTCACGTCGCCGCTACCAACAGATCCAGGAAGACCTCCCATGGCACACTCGCATTCCATTTCCCCCAACAGTACCCCCCCGGACCTGCGTAGCACCTCGATAGCTGCCCTCCGCTTGAAAGCGAAGGAACACGTGGAAAATATCACGAAGGGACTTCAGATGGTTTAATCGTGTTTTACGTTTTGTGTGTGTGTTTGTATATAAAAAAATGTGCATTTTCCTGTATATATTCCTGTATATTATATTATTGTTGAACTTCGTAGTGAATGGAACTTCGTAGTCAATGAATTTCACTAGTCAATGTTGGTATACCGTGTGATGATTTGAAATCAGCTTGTCCGATTGATATCCTATTTATTTTTTAGAAAGTCATATTGAATATAGGTTTTGTCTGACTTCTACTACGATTTTCAAGTAACAAGTATTTTTAACAAACGAATTCTCAAATATACAATGAAATAGTGGGTATATGTGTGTTTGGTACCTGTAACAGGTACCTGTAATAACAAAATGTTACCTGTGTTATCAGTTCCACTACCAAAACGATAATTATTCAGAAAATTAAAGTTGTGGATTGGAACAAGTATCAATGGATTCTAATCTAGTGGTAAAAAATTCATAAATTCAAAAGTGGAAAGCTGCAGAAATCTAGTTGGTCATTGTGGGTCTTGAAAGTGGGATTTTTATACATATACGTACATATACATTCAACGTAGACATTGGAGTTCCACAGGGCTGTGTTTTGAGACCACTGATTTTTCTGATTTATATGCATGATTTACCTTAACATCTAGGTACAAAATCAATATAACTTTTTGCCGATGATACTGCAGTCTCAAACGAACCTGATAACCTTGCGGGACTATAGTTGAAACTGAACACAATAAGTCGTAAATTCACGAAATGGTGTCACGGAAATAAACTTATAGTGAATGGCGACAAAACGGTGTTAGTTCAATTCTTCAACCGAAGACACTTACATACAGGTTGATATAAATAATGTCACTATCCGTCGCGGAAACCACAAAAGTTTTAGGACTTCATATAGATTCTGGGTTGAGTTGGCAATTTCACATAAATTATGTTTGCAAGAGAATCAACACCAGTTTTCAGGCATGGGTATAACTTTAAAAGGTTATGAATGAAGAGCATTTGTTGAACATTTACAATGCGATGGTTTATTCAGTACTATCTCATAATGTGCTTTTGTGTGCTCTCAAAAAAGGATAATACGTATGTTATATGGTCTTCGACACGCATATTCCTGTAGACCCATTTTTAGGGAAAGAAAAATGTTTACGCTACCATCTATATACATTTATAATTGTCTGCTTTTTGTTAAAAAGAAGAAGTCTGAGTTTCAACAATCACCCAACAAGAAATGGAAATCTAATTAACCTGCAGCAATATCATACGAGATTGTTTCAAAAATCACCCTCTCTAGCAGGCTCCAAGTTATTGTCTGCCTTTAAATATAAAGACTATCCCATCAATGTCTACTTTCAAACGGAATGTTGAGGAATACCTTTTAGAGGGATGTTTTTATTCTATCAATGAGTATTTTGAGTATACTTCCAAATAATTGTGATCTCTATGTTATTTATTAACTCCGTATTACACATCCACATGTTTATTTTTACTTGACGTTTCCTATATAATTGTTAAATGATCATTTCAAAGAAATAAAAATATTATTATTATTATACAAGACCACACAACGAATAAAGAGAACATGGAAATTATCTAAACGAGCAATAATGGAAGGAAGCATTATAAATAAATAAATTGTATAAAAAACTTCAATTTTGAATTTACGAAATTAGACAAGAGCAATTTTCTTCAGCCTATATTCAATTTGAAATCAGGTTCGGACCTAGAATAAAGAGTATGACAATTCACGCAGGCTTACAAAGACCCTCTAATTTTGAGCTTTAAAATATTTTCTTTACTGAAGGTTTCTACTCGTCTGAAGCAGACAATAATTGTACCATTCATTCAAAAAATGATAAAACCATAATCTTCACGTTTTTATCAACTTTTTTGAGTATTTTCACAGTTCATAATCAGAAGAATATAAAAACTTTAACAGAGAACTGTTTACACGTGTAGAAAAGGCAAACTTTCAGTTCACCACGATAAGTCTTCTTCACGAAGAAGAATGTTTTATTCATCAATACCTTGTCGTGGTCAATAATTTTGTCTATCAAAAAAAGAGTTTGAGATATTATATACATAACAGTTAGGCTGAAAAATTCTTGGGCTAACAAAAAAAAAATAAATTTGATACAATTTTATTTAAATATTCAATGTAGTCATACCATTTTTCGATACCATCAGCACTATATTTTTTCCAGAGAACATTCTCTTGTGATCTGTGAACAGGGAGACAAATCCGGAGAATACGGTGGATGCGGAAGCAAGTTCAGAGTTTGGGGATTGTGTGTGTGTGAAGTCTTATGTTGTGATATCTCATGTGGTATTGTCTTATGTTGCCATGTGTTTCTCTTGTTTTACGTTGTTTCGTTAGACTGGTCCTGGTCCGTTGCGGTGGTCAGTACATATGGGTCCAGGTTGTTAGACCAGGAGTGGATGTAGTCCGATTTCAGCTCCTTCCAGGACGTACCTGTCGGCTATCTGATTTCCTGTGGGTACTCCTCTGGGATATCTTGGATCTGCTCCGACGGATCTCCCTTTGCTCCCCTTGCTGGGAGAAACGGGAGCTTCTTTCTAGGTATCCTTCTGTGTCTTCCACGGGGAGTCCAAGGCGTGGTCAGCGTGTTGATGGCATCGGGATTATTGCTGCTAATCGTTCTTGTCGCATATCGTCCTTGATATTCCTTGCCTCGATTTTGCTAACTTTCCTTCAAATGGGGCCAGTTTTCCGCGATTTCGTTCTTCAAACGCCCCAGTAACGGTATGTAACAGTCGCTGTTGATGGTTTTTCCATTGTTAAGATAGATCCCAAAATACTGACACCTAAAACTTTCCAGCCAATTGTTGCGTCTTTGCAGGATGGAGCCATGTTTCATCCATTGTCATATATCGACGCATGAATTCGGGGTTTTTATGGTGGAACAGGTTCAAACACTGTTCACGATCATCATTTCACTGTTGATTTTGGTCAATTGTGCGAGCTCGCGCTCTACCCAGTTTGCACAGAGTTTTCGCTTACCCAAATATTCATGCACGATGTCCAATAACGTTTATTTGATATCCTAAAAGCCTTAGCTATCTTGATCAACTCCACTTTGAGGTCACCCAAAATTATTTATTCTGTTTTCGTTGGTAACAACCTCTTTTCGACTTCCACTTCATCCATGGTCTTGAGTTCTCATTCTTCATCATTTGAACTTAGCATACCACTTCTCAATGATTGATTTTTCTGTTGCAAAGTCCGAATGATGTTCATCAAGCCAAGCCTTGACTTCAACAGTTTTTTTGTGCCAAAAAGCAATGCTTTGTTTTAAAAAAATCTGTTTAAAATCTGTTTTTCCGTTAACCAGCTGTCGCACGCCTACGAACGACAACCGTCAGAAGTCGAAACTTGTACGAGCTAAGGATTAACGAGGTCTTACCTTTTGTGATTCCTAACAAGTGGAAATCGATCGTTCGGACTAGGGCTTGAACCACCGACCAACACGGCAGTCAATTCAAGTGAGTGAACCACCCACGTGGAACCGCCTGGCCACCGACCGATTTTCATACGAAACTCCTTTTTATCCATTTTCTTCAAACTAACAAAAGTTGCTTCTCTCAAAATATTCTCTCCCACAAACTAACAATCCTACAGCTGTGAAATTTGTACACGTGTCTTTTAAAGTTAACAAAAAATCATATGAATTCCATACAATTAGCGCCATCTATGTGTTAGCCTACGAACTTTTCATCCAACCTAATATTCAACGTTTCGGAGGTTAAAATTTGCCTCCGTCTTCAGAATTGAAAAACATCTAAATATATCAACAGTTTACTCTTCGCTAAATCTTTCTATTTCTAAACTTCCTCTGTTTCTTAAATTCATCATCATTATCATATTTCTACAGCTATCCTCATGTTTTTTTAATACGGCAAATTAATCAATTCCAGTATTACTTTAGGTATTTTCCGGTTTTTGTATAAATTATATTTTATGGTAACAGTTTGTGATCTTTTTGAGCTTCATGGTTGGAAAAAGCAGCAGTTTTTGTACAATTGTCATTGAAAGTGATATTTTTAATGGTTGTCAGGAGTATTAGAAGATGATCTTTACAAAGTAGCGTGTTAAAAATATTTTCAACACTAAAATTATTTTTAACACGATTTTCTTCGACCAAAGAGATGTCAAAATGTTTTTTATAGAAATATTGGATTTATCTATTTTACTATGAAAACAGGAAAGTAGTAGAAGAAACTTTGTATGAAAATCTGTCTTGAAAGTAACTTTTATTTTGTTCGTGAAATCGTTCAATTCGCTACGCTCGTTTCGCAAACTTTTCACTCACAAAATAAAGCCTTACTTTCAACACTCATATCATAAATATGGTGTATCTCCATCCTAGAGATACACCAGGTTGCGTTTTCGAAAATTTTCACACGGTATATTTTCCATATTTTTGACTTGAAAAATTATACTCATTTATCTGTTTTGAGAAATCAGCATACATGTACATATTATGGAAGAGAGTATTTCAGAAATGAAGGACTCGGAGCTCAAAACACTCTGCGTGTTGGGATATATGCAAGATTAGTTTAGAAGTAGTCCCATTAGTTCTATAGTGAATTTTAGTGCAATTGTTACATAATCGTTTCTGTTCACGAAATGAGATATGTTTCGAAAGTTTTTGTTGACTTGAAACGAGCTATTTGACACTTGTGAAATGGAATAGTTGGATGTCTTAAATTTTTGTATGTACTTTGTTCATCCAATGGAAGCATACAGTCATTATGTTTCTAATTATTGACAGAATATCTCTTTCCTATGTAAATTTGAATAGAGACGACAATTGAGCATAAAACTGTATTTTTGCAGACTCCAACTTTTTCAACTATCATTTTGGCGATTTAGCACATTCCCAATTTTGAAAAAGGGGCCTCAAAAACCCTCATCAATTTCCTAAATCGGCAACTGATGAGTAAGTTATCTGTGAATCATATTTCGATTTGGTACACAAGTCATTAGGTTAAGTGTATTTTTGTAAGAAATGAATGATTGTACCAAAGCAGTATCAAACAGAACGACTGCAATATTTC